TAAAAATCAGATCAGTAGGTGCCCACCTTCTTGATACGATCACTGAAAACAAAGGTGTGCATAAGCAAAGGTGGTGAAGAAAGCTGATGGTGCCTGGCTATCAAAATATATAGCATCTGGGGTCTTAAAGGCTGGAAGATAAACAAGCGGTCAACTAGCTCAGAACCAACAAAGCCCACATGGAATAAGGACACCAGTATGTGTGACCACGAGCTGTAGAAGGGATTGGGTGTCAGGCATCAAGGAACAAGAAATCATGTCATTGTAAAGGTGGGTGAGTGCAGAAAGGAGACTCAGAGTACATCTGTTGGCAACTGAATACCCCCCTGCTGAGGGGTTTGGGGGAGGAGATGAGCTAATCAGGGTGCAGGGTAGCAATGATGAAACATGTAACTTTTCTCTAGTTCTTTAATGCTTCCTCCCCCCCAATATCATGATCCCAATTCTGCCTCGCAAATCTGGCTAGACCGGAGGATGTACATTGGTACAGACAGCAACTTGAAACACAGGGAATCCAGGATAGATGACTCCTTCAGACCAGTGGTGAGAGGGGCGAGGCCTGGAGGGTGAAGGGAATGTGGGGTAGAAGGGGGGAACCAATTACAAGAATCTAAGTATAGCTTCCTCCCTGGGGAATGGACAGTTGAGAAGAGAGCAGAGGGAGACGTCGGACAGTATAACTTATGACAAAACCATAATAATTTATGAATCATGAAGGGTTCATGAGGGAGGGGGAGGGAGGGGGGAAATGAGCAAACGATATTGAGGGCTAAAGTAGAGGGCAAATGTTTTGAGATTGATGAGGGCAACAGGTGTACATATGTGCTTGACTCAATGGATGGATGTATGGACTGTGATAAGAATTGTATGAGCCCTCAATACAATAATTTTTTTAAAAAAGAATATTGAGGGTAACAAATGTACAAATGTGCTTTATACAATTGATGTGTGTATGGATTGTGATGAGTTGTATGAGCCCCCAATAAAATGACTTTAAAAAAAATTTCCCAAATCAAGATCAACATGTACCGATCAATGAAAAGAGTTGTACATCATAATGATCTGAGAAGAAAAAAGGATGAATCTATACAGATGGAATCTAGACATTCTTTCATCTCTCTTTACCACTTTTCATTTACCATATCAGATAGATTGTAAGAGATCACTTCTCATCAATTCTCCATGAGCAAGTTTTACTTCTGGATTTCATCATCGAAATATTACCTCTTTTTTCTTCAAGATATATATACCATAAACAAGGTTCCAGCTAGTACCTGCTGGACCTGGAATGGCAGAGATAAATATAGTATCTATTTTTAAAAGTCATAAATTTTAGCTATTCTATAACAACCCTTACAGACTAAAATAAAATAAAATGTTATTAATTATATCTATTAACATGTTACTTTAATATTTTATCATTAATAGATGCATTATTGATAGTTAATTTTTTAAAACTTACTGCCATCAAATCAATTCTTCATCATAGTGACCCTAAAGGACAGGGTAGAACTACCCTGCGTTTTTCCAAGATTGCAATCCTTTACGGGAGTTGAAATCCTCATCTTTCTCCTGAGGAGCTGGCTTGTAACTTCTCACTGTTGACCTTCTGATTAGCAGCTCAATGAATAATCACTATGCCTCCAGAGTGCCTTAGGATATTTAGGAGATCTTTCTTAAAGTAAAGTATATTATTAACATTATAAACTCAAAAGTGAAGATAAATATAGCTTATGGAGGCAATTATACAATTAATGCTCAATCCTCACCTTCAGTATTTGTCATCTTATTTTTATAAGAACTCTCCTCAGCTTCTTCCGGAACATCAGATAATGCCAGTGCTCTTGATGTGACATTGTCTTTTTAAAAGAGAGCAAACATTTCAATTAGCAATTAGTATAGACTTTTTAACTAAAGAAGCACAATGTGAAATTGGTGTCTTTGCAAAATTACTATAATACAAATGTTAACGAAAGTTGTTTTAAATCAAAAGGATAAAGAATTTTGTGGTGACATATAAAATAGTCAAGATTCACTGTTAAGTGAAGAACAAGATTGATACCTCTGTATGCAAGTTTTTTTCACCAATTGTGTTTTTTATAAAGGAGACTAAAGATAAATATTTGTGGATGAATATACAATTTCTAGATCAAAAACACTGGTAGAACTAGTGACTTTGACAATGTAAAATGGAAAGACACAGACAACTTTATATTTTATTTTATAATCTTTGAAATATGTTTTACACTCTCAAACATAAGAGCATGTTATTTGTTTGACAGCTTCTTAAAAAGTGAAATGTATCTACTCTATAATGCAGCAATTCTACTCCTGTTTTAACCCAAGAGAAATAAAACCTGTAACTCTAAAATATGATCTGTCAACAAAAGAATATTTTTCATAGCTTTACTCATAGGAGCCAGAACATGGAAACAAACCACAGGTCATCACTATAAATATAGATTTCAAAAAACATTGGGTAGTCATACATTCCTTTACTGCTGAGAAGTAAAAAAGATCAATTACAATATATGCAGTTACATAGGTGAATCTCAATTCACAGTAAATTCTGTATAATTCTATTTATGAGGTTTGTAGTTTTTTTTAAACTAAACTATCTATAGTAGGTGAGGAACTTTCTTGGATTATTAAAACCTCTCTACATTGAATGAATTGGTTAGTAACATGGTTCCAAACATTTACGAAGTGTTACACTAGTTTTTACATTTGTTGATTTTCAGATGGAGGGGGGGGGGGGTGTTACATTTGAATGAGCTTGAACAGGAACTCCTGAGCATGCTCTAGATCTTCTCAATCCCCACGTTCAGTCACTAACAAGTGTCTTGGAAACTGTGCCATACAGCAGTTCCGTGGAATGTTTAAAAAAAGGTATTAAAGGAAAAGAACAATCAATAAATCTTTGCACAAGGCCAGACAGCAACATATGAAAATAGGATTGTAATTAAAAACATATGCGAGTCAGTCATTTCAGATCTCCATGCCAGTATTGCCTCATCCATTAGGGAGCGACCAATCAAACCAGTTATATTTTTCTCCAACATACTTACAAATACTAATTAATACCTCTGAGAAACTTACTCATATACATCTGTGATCTGTGACCATATAAGACAGAGGAGAACTGACTCCACAGGCTTTCCAAAACTAAACCTTGAAGGATGGATTTCTCTGATGAAGTGACTGATGGGTGGGAAAGACTAACCTTACAGTTAGCAGCCAAGTTTTAACCGCTGCTCTGCCATGGCTCCTTTGATATGTACATTCGCAGGGTATATATGGGTAAAAATGTGTGCATGTCATGTATAAAGCCAAAAAAATTGCCATCGAGTCATTTTTGACTCACAGCGACCCTCCAGGTAGAAGTGCTGTGACGTGAGTCTCGCTCAGCCTCCTCTTTCTCCCGTGGAGCTGCTGCTGGCTCCTAACTCGTAAGCATGCAGTGAACAGGCCAACATGCGGCCCATTCTGCCACCAGGGCTCTTCCCATGCAATACCGATACAAGTAAACAATCCATGTAATCAAAATATATAAGGCAAAAAAATCATTTGTCCACACATTCATCAATTATATATGGCTCAAAAAATGCTATGTTCATACCTATAAGGTTTATTTTAGACTAAATATATTTTAAAAGGTCTCTGAGATCAATGGGTAGCTGCAGACAATGCTCTGAGTAAACACTTAACACACAGTAACACTGCTGTCAAACTCGATTCAAGTCCTTTTTTTCCCCTGCTTTCTTCCAAAAGTAGCTTTCTTACATGCTATAAAATATTTTTAGTTAGTGAGGAATAGAGCTAGTGATCTCATAAAAAGAAAAAATAATTTATTGAGTATGCAAGTCTAATTTGTAGTTACTGTCTATAACTATGTTTTTATTTTATATTATTATTCAATATATTCTTATTTCCAGTGTCTATTGGTGCAGTACACTATTTAATATTCCTAAATTTATATTTTTAGTTTTACATATTTTAATGCTTTATTCTGTCTTTCTTACCTATAGTTTAAATACGTTATGGATTCAAACCTCACCAGCTATTCCACAAGAGAAAGATGAGGCTCTCTGCTTCCGTAAAGATGTATAGTCTTTGGAGTCCTAAGGAGCAGTTCTACTTTGTTATGTAGGGTCACAATGAGTCAGAATGAACTCAACAGCAATGGGATGAGTTGGAAGGGAATCATTTTGGGGATTTATTACTATTTATGAGGGTACAACGATATAGAACAATATCCCACACAAGTAAAGTTTTCCTTAAGGTCATCCAAAAATGTTTGTAGCCGTACATTGACAGAGAACTACCAGAACTTCAGGCTGGATTCAGAAGAGGACATAGGACAAGGGATATCACTGCTAATGTCAGATGGATCTTGGCTCAAAGCAGAGAATACCAGAAAGATGTTTACTTGTGTTTCATTGACTCTGCAAAGGCATAGACTCTGTGGACCAAGGTAAATTGTGGGTAACCTTGAGAAGAATGGGAATTCCAGAACACTTCATTATGCTCATTCAAAACTTTTGCATGGATCAAGAAGCAGTTGTGTGTACAGAGCAAGGGAATACTGCATGGCAGTATATAGTATAGCCCTTAACAACAACTACAAATTGTTATTTTTCATCCATTCTTGAAACTTTTAGTCATTAATTTTACTGAAGTTCTTTCTCCTTATTCTCTTCATGTAAGACATGGATTGATTATATTTTATAGAGTAAAATATCTGTTAACTATATCTTACTAGTTATTGCATATTTCACTTTTTCTGTACTGATTTGTGTTTAACTTATTCTATATTATTTAAAGATTGTGTCTTCAGCTATCTTCAATGAACCATTGTTGTTGCTATTGTTGGTGTTAGGTACCAAAGTCATTCACCCCTAGAAACTCCATGCATGGCAGAATGAAACACTGCGCAGTCCCGTGCCATCCTCAAAACGTGGCCTGTGCTTGTGCCCAATGTTGCAGCCTGGGTGTCAATCCATCTCACTGAGGCCCTTCTTCGTTTTCATTGTTCCTCTACCAAGCATGATGTCCTTCTCTAGCCACTGCTATCTCCTGATAGCATGTCAGAAGTTTATAACACAAAAATCTTCCCATCTTTGCCTCGAAAGAAAACTCTGGCCCTACCTCTTCCAAGGCAGAGGATTGTCATTTTAGCAGTGCATGGTGCTATCAGTATCCTTGTCCTGCACCACAATTCAAATTCACCGATTCTTCTTCAGTCTTCCTTGTCCAACTTGCACCTGCATACGAGGCGATGGAAAATACCATGGCTGGGGTTAGGTGCACTTTAGTCCTCCAAGTAACATCCTTGCTTTTCAATACTTTAAAGAGATCTTTACACAACGCAATTCATCTTCTGATCTCTCGACTGCTGCTTCCGTGAGCATTGATTGTGGACCCAAGCAAGACAAAATCAACCATTTCTCCATTTATCATGATGTTACCTAACGGTCCAGCTGTGCGGATTTTGGTCTTTCCATGCAGTTGGGATCCACACTAAAGGCTACAAACCCTGCTCTTCGTCACCAAGGGTTTCAAGTCTTCCTCCCATTCCGCAAGATTGTGTCATCTGCATATTGCAGGTCCTTAATAAGCCTTCCTCCAATCTTGATGCTGCATTCTTCATAAAATCCATCTTCTCTGACGATTTGTTCAGCATACAGATTGAATAAGTATGGCGAGAGGATACAATCTTGACACACACCTCTCCTGATTTTAAATCATGAAATATTCCCTTATTCTGCTGCCTCTAGATTTATGCACAGGTTCCAAATAAGCATAACGAGGTATTCTGAAATCCTCATTCTTCTCAAGACTATCCATGGTATGTTATGGTATGTTACTTGGTACACAGTAAACATCTTTCTGTTAGTCTCTGCTTTCAGCCAAGATCCATTCGACATCAGCAACGATAGCCCTTGTTCATGTCCTCTTCGGAAGCCAGCCTGAACCTTTGGCAGCTCCCTGTTAAAGCACTCCTGCAACCATGATTCGATGACCTTCAGCAACATTTTACTTGCAAGTGATGATAATGATACTGTTCTATCGTTTGAGGATTCTGTTGAGTCACCTCTTTGGAATGGATACAATTACGGATCTCTTCCAGTCAGTTGGACAAATAACAGTCTTCCAAATTTCATGGCACATGCAGATGAGTAACTGCTCGTGTTTTATCACCTAGTTGAAATATTTCAGTCAATTCCAACATTCCATCAATTCCTGGAGCCTTATGTTTGACTACTGTTTTCGGGGCAGCTAAAACTTTCCTGAGCACCATTGGTTCGTCCTCCTATGCTGCCTCCTGAAATGGTCGAGTGCCAAATCGATCTTTTTGACATAGCGACTTGGTGTATTCTTCCCATCTTCTCTCGATGCTCCCTGCATCATCCAATATTGTACCCAGAGAATCTTTCAGTATTTTTCCACAAGTCTAGAATATTTTCCTCAGTTCTTTCAGTTTATGATATGTTAAGTGTGTTCTTCTTTTTTGGTTTTCTAATTCTAGGCCTTTGAAAATTTCATTGTAATATTTTACTTTGCTTTCTCAAGCTGCCTTTGATAATTTTTTATTCAACTTTTTGACTTCATTTCTTCAATTTACTTTAGCTCCTCTACAAGTAAGAGCAAGTTTCAGAGTATCTTCTGACATCCTTGCTGATGTTTTTTTCTCTCTTGTCATTTTAAAAAACTGTTCTCTTGACAGATGATCCATGTATCAAACAATTAAATAGTCCAATCACTTCAAGGAGAGTTGTGCAATCATTGCCAAAATCGGTTTTAGAACATTTTCTTCACTCCTATACTTATGTTATTA